TTAGTTTTCGGGGATTATAGCAATGTCTATGCGTCAGTCACGTCTATAAAATAATTGCAGCTGATCCCGAGCCGAAAGGTCGTATCCTCCTACAGGATGTCACGCATGTTGAACCAGTTGAAGACGCGAAGGCAGTGTTCAGGATAAAAACGGGACAAGATGAAATTCAATTACAGGCACCGAGCGTATGCGAAATGAACGAATGGTGAGATTCCACATCGTTTGTTTGAGTCATTCCGATATCGGAATCACTCCCAGAGTTGTTGTCCGTAATGTGTTTTATGGCTATGATGATCAAACATTTATTCAACGCTTGAACTGAGATCATCTGATGGATATCACGCAGGCTGAGCCATACATAGTGCGTGCCTCATTGTGCACTTACAGTCTCAAATACTGATATTTTGCGTCGAAATGCATTCATATCTGCTGTCTATATAAATGAGCAACAAAGAGCATTGTCAGTATACAGCTAGCGTATTATATGGGTGACTGAATATATTCCTATCCATTTTTTCATGTGTCTTTTAGGATCGTTCAAATCCAGAAACAACGAAAGAGGCAGTTACTGATCGCGATGCGCAGCACTGAACCAACCGAGATATTCGAGATAGACGTTGAACGAGAGCTGGAAGCCGTTCACATGACGTTCTACCAGAATGCCGAAACACTGAAACATTGGAAGAATTTCTTCGAAGGCACTGAAATACCACAAGGCGAAGCACCTTTTCCGAGAGCTCTTCAAGACTTGGTGAGTACTTCGAGTTTATTTTCTTCATTCAGGAACTGAAAACTCGTTATCGAAATCCATAAACGTCTCAGCGTTACACTGTCATACGACTTTCTATGTCTTCATTGGATTCATATCGAGTAGTTGGAAGTGAAACCGAGAATGAGAGCGAAAAATAGAGTGAGCAGCGAGAGAAGTATTCAATGAGAGTTCAAAAGAGCCCTTATCTAATGCTCAGCAGTACCAGACGATGTGTCGTTTGTCGGGAATGTCGTTGTTTTGTGTTTCCTCATGGAATGTTGAATTCAAAAAAGTTCAGAGAAATTATTGCGCGTTTAACAAAAAAAAAACAGTGGAGATTCCAGAGAAATCATTGTCAAACGTTTAACAAACTCCAGTGTATGATTATTCCTCCTCTTAAAAAATTCCACAATTATCACTAGAAAACAAGATTTTCACCATGATTATTTTGCTCACTATCAGTAACCGGACGAACTCGTAACCGAAGTGTCTATTCTCCCGAAACAGCTGCTATCGCAATCGTAGAGCAAATCATGATTTAAATCCAACTTGCGATCATTGAGGTTCTTCAGCGACTGTGCTGAGCGATTATCGAATCGGAAAGAATTTATAAAAATAGTCGTATTGTTTCAGCTGAACGAAAGCGAAAATCCAGAAGGAGCACGAACGTGTATGTTGTCAACAATCGAGGACGTGCTGCATGGCACATTAATGATCGAAAAGGCGCATCGCGACATCATTGATAAATTCATGAATCAGGTAACGATCAGTTTATTTAACCAATCTATTACTTAAGCACCACTCCAGATGGTACTTGTTGTTCTAAGCTGCGATCAGCTTGATATCATAATAGCAACGATCGATGACGTTCATCATTGTTTTCACATCAGATATTTCTTCACCATTGTAATTAAAATCACTATCATTTTGTCATTATTCTTGTTGCTATTATTATTTATTGCTAACTCCTATTAATTTTTGTAATTGTTATTACTACTATCATAGTGCGTGTGTGAATAAATCTAGCGATTTGCAGATACGTGACGGAAAAGGAACACGTGAATTACCGATTGGAGACGATAATTATTTACTGCTGAAGTCACGTCTACAGCAAAGGAATCTCGATTAGGTGTGCATCGACGAGTTAACGCTCAAATCATAGTGAATTGGTTCGAGGAACAATGAGCTGTTCAAGCTTAATCAGTTCGTAGTAATAACTATCTCCGCTTGCCACATTCGGATTGATCTCGTCGAAGTTGCGGTTCTGAATGAATGCATTTCATTTGATATGTACATTTCACCATCATGATATATCTTTCAAAAGGAGTTTCTCA